CCACCAGTCACTACTACAGCACAGACACTCAAAAATGGCATATTATTTGCAGATAATTAATTCCTTATCAAAAAATCTTTTTAGACCAATTAGGTGAAATAGGATGATTTTCTACGGCACACCTAGTGTACCGAGGCACAGTGGTTGAAAAACACTGGAATAAACAAACACAAACTACAGCAGAACCTCCACACACGAATCTAACTGGTTCCAGGACCGACTTTGTACGTTAAAATATTCATATTTTGGTTCAAATCTTCCATCAGAATACACTGTAATTCTTAGAATTGGGTCAAAAAACCTACGATAACTCCTTAACAAATACTCCAGATAACTTATTCTAACTTTATTACCTGAACTTTAAGCTAACTTAGCTTATTTGTTTTTATTTGATTTTTATATTTTTTTTTTTCTTCGTATGTTAAAATGTTGGTATGTTGGTTCAAATATTCCATCAGAATACTCTGTAATTCCTAGAATTGGGTCCAAAAACCTACAATAACTCCTTAATAAACACAGCAGATAACTTACTCTAACTTTATTACCTGAACTTTAAACTAACTTAGCTTATTTGTTTTTATTTTATTTTAATTTATTTTTTCTTCATATCTTAAAATATTGGTTTGTTGGTTCAAATCTTCCATCAGAATACACTGTAAGTCCTAGAATTGGTTTCAAAAACCTACAATAACTCCTCAATAAATACAGATAACTTACTCTACCTTTATTATCTGAACTTTAAGCTAACTTAGCATATTTGTTTTTATTTGATTTTTATGTATTTTTTTCTTCATATCTTAAAATATTGGTATGTTGGTTCAAATATTCCATCAGAATACACTGTAATTCCTAGAATTGGGTCCAAAAACCTATGATAACTCCTTAATAAATACTGGAGATAATTACACATAGCAAGAAAACTAATGACTTCTATAAGAGAGATGGGAAAAGTAATAAATTATAAAGAAATAATCAATAAAAAGGGTTTTTATTGACACTTATTGGTGAACGGAGGTAGAGGTGGAGACTGAGATAACTTACTCTAAATTTACTACCTGAACTTTAAACTAACTTAGCTTATTTGTTTTTATTCGATTTTTCTATGTTATCTTTTTTTCTATGACTTCCACGTCACATGAAATTTACTTTGAGTGTCGAGTCGAATATTTGATCTTTGGATGTTGTAAATTCGTGCGTTTGGGAACTGGTAAGTGGAGGTTCTGCTGTTCAAAGCTTTGCGGGCCAAGTTTGATCCTCCGGATCAGACTGTGGAGGTTCAGCCATGCGAGATTCAAAGCAAACCGAGACGTCCTCTCGTTTTTTTTTACCCTTTCACTCTTTTTTTACCTAACTTAGCTTATTTGTTTTTATTTGATTTTTATATAAAAAAAAATTTCTTCGTATGTTGAAATATTGGTATGTTGGTTCAAATATTCCATCAGAATACTCTGTAATTCCTAGAATTGGTTCCAAAATCCTACGATAACTCCTTAGTAAATACTGCAGATAATTCATTATATAAGAGGGATGTAAAAATAAATTAATTATAAAGAAATAATCAATAACAAGGGGTTTTAATCGGAATTTATTGGCTAACGGAGGTAGAGGTGGAGACTGAGATAACTTACTCTGACCTTACTACCTGAACTTTAAACTAACTTAGCTTATTTGTTTTTGTTTGATTTTTATATGTTATACATTTTTTCCTATGACTTCCACGTCACATGAAATTTACTTTGAGTGTCGAGTCGAATATTTGATCTTTGGATGTTGTAAATTCGTGTGTTTGGGAACTGGTAAGTGGAGGTTCTGCTGATTAAAGCTTTGGGGGCCAAGTTTGATCCTCCGGATCAGACTGTGGAGGATCTGCCATGCGAGATTCAAAACAAACCTCTCGTTTTTTTACCCTTTCCCTCTTTTTTACCTTTCTCAATTTTGGGGGTGGGGGGTTTCTTGGCACTAGCTGCATCAAGAAAACACGACATCATAAACAACCTTTACAGGTCAAATCAGGACCCAACGGGCCGAGAAAAAAATGGGGTCACCTTTACCTGGTTTGGCAGAAGTTTTGGCTCCGCGGGTTTGGGACTTCACAGCTCCGGCGCTCTGAAAACCGACGGCAGAAAAGGGTCTTTGAAGCACTCGTCAGAGCAATAGGTTCATTAGGGCAGTGTTTTTCAACCTTTTTTGAGCCAAGGTACAGTTTTTCATTGAAAAAATCTCGAGGCCACCAACCAAAAATGTCAAACAAATCTGTAGCCGCCTATAGTAACTCTATAGTTATTCTTATTTTATTCTTATCTTAAGTGTCTTGAATAGGAATCAAATAAACACAAAAATGTATTTTTATCATATTTTATATTTCTTCTTTCAAATTGCTCTTAACATGTCCACTTCAATATACAAAATTATATACAAAATCTAGTCATAAGGAATTATTACATGATTACTCCACCAGTCACTAGAACAGTACAGACACTCAAAAATGGCATATTATTTGCAGAAAATTAATTCCTTATTAAAGAAAATTTTCAGACCAATTAGGTGAAATAGGATGATTTTCTACGGCACACCTGACCATCACTAACGGCACACTAGTGTACCAAGGACCAGTGGTTGAAAAACACTGCATTAGGATGCCTCACAGAAATCAGGGCGGGAAAACAAAACGGGAGGATACAAACAGATGGATTTAGAGCTGTTGGACCAGATGGGGTTTGGGAGCATCAGTTCCCACTTTTCCCGTTTTCCTGCGGCGCCTGAAGGCACCGCGGCCTTGAAATCCGGCCGTACTTACTGCAGGGAGGCTGGTTTTTACGGGGATGGAGCTGTGGCCGTTTCGGGGGGAGGCCTTGGCCGGTCTTTTAGGGGAGGAGGTTGGAGTTGGAGTGGTGGAAGTTTGAGGCTTTGTGATGAAGAGGAAATGTAAACGGAAAACAAACGATCAAATGAAAGCGAACAGAAAAAAAAATGAAACACACAAAATGAAAAATGACTCCACTTCGAGAACAATGCTTAAGGATCATTCTGGTGCCTTAAAAGTCTAAATACGCTCCTTAAAGTTGACATAAAAGCTTTTTATGGGCAGCCCAGTAAAAACTGGGGTAAATTATTCCAATTTTTTTTACATTAACAAATAAAAACCTTTGGTATAAAGTCTTAAAATCTCCTATAAACAGGTGAAAGTCGCATAAACGTGTCTTTTCTCCTAAAGGTTTTCGTCTGGTTTACGTGAGTATTTAATAGGTGTGTTTTAATTGTGAATAATGTCCCTGGTGTTTCTCCAAAGTCTGAACCAAACAAACAGCTTCTGACTAACTGGTTAATCACGGTTTAGTGTTTATGTGTCACTAACCAGAGGAAAGAAATTATAAAAACCTGCTCTTCCTGTCGGCTGAGGAATGGAAATAGTTTGTTTGGGCTGAGACACTTTGATCTACTTCAAACTTAATTGTTTCTTAAACCACCAACGGAAAAAATAGAGTTGTAAATCAGAACAGAAAGCTACATTTGCCACCTCATGTGAACTCAGATAAGATAATAAAAACTACATTTCCCTCTCAGATCAAAACAGAAAAACTAAATTTCCCCCTCATATGAACTCAGAACAAAAAAACTACATTTTCCTCTCAGATAACAAAAAAACTACATTTCCCTCTCAGATAAGCACAAAAAAACTACATTTCC